GATTCCTTTAAAAAACTGAAAATCGACCTGCCCTATGATCCAGCAATCCCACTCTAGGGCATGTATCTGGAGGGAACTCTAGTTCAAAAAGACACCCACACCCCAATGTTCATAGCAGCACTATTAACAATAGCCAAGATACAGGAGCATCTTCAGTGCCCATCGACAGATGACTGCTTTTCCACAATGGAATATTACTCAGCCACCGAAAACTGAAACAGTCACGGGCTGGCGCCAGCCCGCGGCGCACCGCGCGCGTCCCGCCCCTCGCCCCCGCCCCTCGCTCCCGCCCCTCGCTGCCGGCTGGCGGCCTCGCTCCGTGGCGGCGGCGGAAGGCCGGCGGGTCCTCGCAGGCCCATGGCGGCTGCAGCGTTGCTGCCGGGCGCAGGCGGGCCTCCCGCGGGCGGCGGGGCCCCGGGCGGCTAGGCCAAGGCGCACCTCCAGGGCCGCAGGTTCCGGTACCTGATGAAGCGCTCGGTGACCATCGTGGGCAGCTCGCCCCAGGGCGCGGTGGACGTGAGCATGGGCCCCTCGACTTCATCCCGCTGCGCCTCCCGGAGATCTTCACGCCCCCGGGAGGCAGCAGCCAGGGCGCGGCGGCCCCAGAGCCCGCGGGCACAGCCCGCCCGCCGCAGCGACTTCTCCCTGCTCTGCCTCCGCAGGAACGGCGTGTTCGCGGACAGCGTGTTTCAGAGGTGCCCGGGGCCGCCGCTGCAGCTGCCGCAGGTGTGTGTGGGGCTGGCGGCGGATGGGGGCTGCAGCCTGGCCGGCGGGCCTGGAAGCAGGACCTCCACCCCGACCTGGACTCTGACCCAGACCCCACGACCCTCGACTGCACCTAGACCCTGCCCCCAGTGCGCGACCTGGCCAGAGACCCGCCCGGTCCCCGATCCCCACCCAGGACCAGGAGAACCCAGATCCAAGGCAGGCCCTGACCACCACCCAGACCCGCTGCCCCCGACCTACGTCTTACGGCCAGGACGCAGCCCCAGGTCCTCCCCACATGTGGGACATAGGACCCAGACTCGGAACTGCAGCCTGACCCTAAACCCAGGCCTTGTTCATCCAAGATCTACATCATGACCTCTGGCCTCAGCCTTCCTCCTAGGAGACCCCGACCCCAACCCTGTCACCCTGGCCAGATCCCACTCCAGACCCCCGCCTCCCGGCCTCACCCACCGGACCCATGACCAGAACGCAGACCACAAGCCCTGCCATGGATCCTCAGCCTCACCTTCCCGAAGCTGGAGGCTCAGGCAGCTGTGCACGTGGGCTGAGGGTTTCTGTGCTTCTCTGTGCATTCTGAGAGTTTGCATATATTTTTCATTACTAGCGTGTAGGTGGTACAGCGCAGAAGTGTTCAACTCTGGTTGGTGGAATGGCCCAAACCTAAAATCTGTATCTTCACTGATGGTGGGTTATGTGTTACTTTTTGTTCAGGGTATTTTCAGTAGCACATTGTTTCAACAGTCGTTTAAGCTGCAGGAACTTATCATACTTCTTGTTGCCTAAAAGTGGAAAACTCTTGAAGGTGATAAATTTTCAAATCTAAAAATTTGGGGAAAACTGGACACTTGCAACATAATTTTTGAAAGTCGCTTGATTATTTAGGAGTTCTTATAAAGTCATCTATAGTTAATTAAGACAGCCTCATGCGGAACTGTCAGTCCTGCTACAAGGCGATTCGGCTGGTTCTCTGGTTTTGTGAAGTTGTTATTTACTCTGCTTGAAAAACAGACTTGCTCTCTAGGAAATGCTAATCATTCCTCAGGGACTCTCCAGATTATTCCAAATCGAACCTCTCTCCACGCACTGGAATTTTCGCCTGCTCCCAGCTGTCGGCGTGCAGACGGCAGCTGCTGCCTGTCGACACCGCAGCATGTTCGCTCGCGTCTGCTGCGTTGCTGCCCGCCTGGGCGCGCGCCGGCTGGGCCCCTAGGCCTTGATGAGAGCGTCTCAAGGGACGTTGCTTTTCAAACCCAAATGCAGCTTTGTGTGTATTTATACTGAAAAGTGCGTTAAATCGGTGGTAGGGACCTAACGGCTGCCTTTTAATTTGCTTTGTTGTTTACAAATAACTTGACATTGCAACAAAGGGTATTATATTTTTGCTCTGGGAATTTTGAGGTTTTTAAAGAAAATTCTCTCATGATCATTAAACCAAAACTACTTGTGTTGACATGCCAAACATGGAAATAAATAAGTGGAGCTTTCTGCGAGGGAGCAGAATTGAGACTTTTCTGAGGGGTGGAGTGAGCCTTGTAGAAGTGATGAACAAGAGAGGCAGTGGGGCAGGGGCAGGGCCTCGGCCTTCAGCTCCAGGTGGCGCACAGGGCAGAGCCCGGGCTTCTTACGGGCCTGGAGACCTCTCCCCGCTCTAACAAATGGGAGTGGTTTTTTTCCATGGAATGGGGTTTTGGCATTTTTACAGTGTGAGGTGAGTGAATAACTGTTAGGATTTTTAAGGCAAATGCATTTTTATAAGGCATTATTTCTAAATTGTTGGTGTAGGATGGTAGTAGGTACATAATAGAAAAAACTGGACAGTTGGTGCTACCTAAAAGTAGATAAATTGTCTTAAAAATCTTTTTCTTGAAATTAAACTCAGTTTTATGTTACAAGTTCTTTTTAAGATTAAAAAATCTAATTGTATCAGTTAAAAAAAATAGGATGAAATGCCATTTGCAGCAACATGGATGGACCTGGAGATCATTGTACTAAGTGAAGTAAGCCAGAAATACAAAGAAAAATACCATATGATATCGTCTATATGTGTGATCAAAAAAAAAAAAGGACACAAATGAACTTATGTACAAAATAGAGACAGGCTCACAGACATAGAAAATGAACTTATGGTTACCAGAGGGGAAGGGGGGTGGGGAGGGATTAAATTGGGAATTTGGGATTAGCAGATACTAACTACTGTATATAAAGCAGATTGAACAACAAGGCCCTACTGTACAGCACAGGGAACTATACTCAATACCTTATAATGGCCTGTAATGAAAAAGAATATGAAAATGAATACATGTATGTATATACACATGTAACTGAATCACGATGCTATACACCAGAAACTAGCACAACATTGTAAATTGACTACGCTTCAATTAAACAATAGCAACACAGATGAGAGACGGCGGCATGGTGGCTGTTGTCAGTGATCAGGTTCTGGACGTATTTTCAAGACAGAGTTATCAGGATGCCCTGACAGACTGATGTTGGTTATGAAAGAAAGTGGGAGTCAGTCAAGGCTGTCTCCAAAGTTTCCGGCCAGAGCAACTGAAAAGATGAGGTTGTCACCCACCAGCGGAGGCTGGAAGCAGACACAGTGGAGGTCAGGGACCCAGAGAACAGTGTTGGACCCAGTGAGTTGGAGGGCTTAGACCTGCAAGTAGAGATGTGTTGGCATTTCAGAGTACAAGGGAGCATTCATGTGGGACTTATAAATGGGGAGGGAAGGATACATGATAAAAAAATAAAATCATGTAAATGTTACAGGATCTGAGCAAAATGCTCCCAGAGCTCAGCATAAGCAGCTCAGTGAAGGATGGGAGGGTCAAACGGGGTGAAGACAGAAGTGGGATTCCCAGACGAAGGCAGAGCACGGGGTCACGAAGGGCCAGAGAATAGTGAGGGCTTCCGGGGCTGAAAGGCCAGACAAGGGGCAGCGGGCAGGGGAGGGGACAGAAAGGAAGGTAGTAGCCAGACGATAAGGGATATGGAGACACCAACATTAATTTAAGACTCGTGTTTCTGGGGGTCTCCTCTTTGCTTTATCCATCCTTGAAACTTTTGTTTGTTTGATGATCATTTAAAATGATGCTGAGGGCTTCTGGTTTCTGGTTCCATGTGTAAGGAGCCTGGAAGTCACCTGGATGGGAAAAAAAATAGTAAAAATCTGAATGGACTGAAAAATCAGCAACTCCTCTTGGGTCTGTAAGAGCAAGGAGGACAAAAACAAACCCCAGACCTTAAGATCAGAGAGCCAGGCAGGTGCATACAGGGAGGCTCGGCTTATGGGAGCAGAGGCTCATGGGGGATGAGAGGAGCTCACAGGCAGCTGGGCATGGGAACCCAAGCTGCAGGATGTCCTGAACTGTGGTTGGCAAATTGCTGGCAGCTGAGTGCAGGCCACTCTGAGAGTTAAAAAGTCCAGGGGGATCCAGTCATGGTGGTGGGAGTTGGGGGAAGCCATGAAATTGTGAGACTTACCTCCAGGGCCCAACCAGGTTCACCGGTAAATACGGGAGAAAAATCCCCTCTGGTCTCTGTTCTTCTTAACAAGGCCCACCCTCAGCAGAAACCACAGCCTAGCCTTGTGGGGGTCAGCAGAGCCTAACTGACCTGAGGAAGGCAGTGCGAACCTCAGCCCACCCTAGCCATCTTGTTTCCCCTAAGAGCAGAGAATAAAATTCAGAAGCACCTGAGAGGCTCACAGCCCAGAGGCACAGGCTCACTAAAACACTGACCCCTGATCGTAGGACTGTTTGACCCACTCATAGTATTAGCCCGACTGTACGCTTCCCCTCCCCCACACCTCACGCCACATTTCTCAAAGCCAATTTACAGCAATCGCTTTAATTTGGTATTTCACGACCAGCTGTCAAGAAAAAATTCCAAGGCATACTGAGAGGCTAAGAACACAATTTGAAGATACAGAACAAGCATCATATTCTTTTTTCCTAGGATTTCCACGTGTCTGCTTACACTGACTATCTGTCCTTGCATGCTGGCTACTCGATCCACTAGCACCCTTTGAATATCAATCATGTTTTAAATTCCCAATCTGACAATCCAACATCCCTGCCATATCTGGTTCTGATGCTTGCTGTGTATCTTTTTTCAATGAGGCTTATTTATTTATTATGGAGGTACTAGAGATTGAACCCAGGACCTTGTGCACACTAAGCATGCACTCTACAACTGAGCTGTACCCTCTCCCCCTGATGTGTATCCTCAAATAGTGTTTTTTGCCTTTCAGCATGTCTTGGAACTTTTTCTTCATGGCATATTAAGTGAAGTAAGTCAGACAGAGAAAGACAACTATTATATGATATCACTTATATGTGGAATCTTAAAAAAATGGATATGAATTTTATTTACAAACCAGAAATAGACTCATGGACATAGAAAACAAACTATGGTTACCAAAGGGGAAAGGGGGGAAGAGAAAATTAGGAGTTTGGGATTAACAGATACACACTACTAGATATAAAATAGACTAACAACAGGTATAGCACAAGAACTGTATTCAGTTCAGTTTCTTATAATAAACTATAATGAAAAAGAATCTGAAAAAAAATCTAAATATGTATGTATATGTATAACTGAATCACTTTGCTGTACACCTGAAACTAATATTGGAAATCAGCTACACATAAATAAAAAATAAAATTTAAAAAAATTACTAGGAAAAACAAAAAAGTTCTACTCCTTAAAAGCATTGTAACAAATGAAGAGTGCCTTTGATGGGCTTCTTAGGACACAGCTGAGGAAAGGATCCCTGAAGCACAGGATGTATAAATAGAGATATTTGAAATCCCCAAAGTAAAGAGAACAGAGATTAGGAAAAAACAGAACAGAATATCAAAGGCCCATGGGACAACTACAGAAAGTGTAACGTGTGAGTGTTGGGACTACCAGAAGAGGAAAGAGAGAAAGAAACAGAAGAAACATTTGAGACACAGTAGCTGAGAATCTCCCCCAAATCAGACACCAATGTTAGACATCAAACCGCAGATGCAGGAAGCTCAGAGCACAACATGCAAGGTAAATGCCAAAAACCAAATCCAAAACAAAATGAAAAAGCCCACTATACCTTAACATATCATTTTCAAATCACAGAAAATCAAAGTTTTTTTAAAATCCTGAAAAGAAGCCAAAAAGATAAAAACCCTTAACTACAGAGGAATTAAGGTAAGAATTACACCCAACTTCTCCTTAGAAACCTTGCAAGCAAGAAAAGTGGAGTGAAATATTTAGAGTTAAGAGAAAACCCCACCAATCTAGAATTCGGTTCCCTGTGAAACTGTCCTTCAAAATTGAAGAAAAAAGTCTTTCTCAAACAAAAATTAAAAGAA